AAGTTCTTTCGAAGATTTTATAGGTATTTGTCTTTCTTTGTGTGATTTACCTTGTTGTATCCCAACTATGAGAAGATAGTCCTAAAATCATACATAAATTTCATAACCGCAGTTTGGAGCACTGCTCAACGGGTAAAAACACCGCCGATGGCTGTGTTTATTGGCTACAAACTTGGAAGAACTAATAATAAGGATTAGCTTATATGGAGTTTAATAGGAGCTCGGACTACTAGAATTCAATCAAGGTCTGGATTGCAGTGTCATCACAAAGTATTATCATTTTGATAAATCTACATTGCAAACTTTTAGAAGTTTGGTAGGAAGTTTAGTAGCATATGAGATTACATGGGATTATACAATTTTCCAGTATTATCATAGGAGATACAATAAAGGTATTGGTAATATACAGATGGTATTTACTTTGACTAATAATGTCTAATGACGCTTTCAATATATATACACAAGCTTGACCAGCTGGCTTAGTTTTGATGATTCTTCATATCCTCTTCAAGGTTAGAAGTGCAGGTAGTCTCAGCCATAGATGCGCCCTCTAAAGTGGCACCGTCCATATTGATTTCGATAGCAGGGCCCTTGTAGTTTTTCCTTCCGTCAACGATCCAAGTACCAACAGCAATGAGCAGGATAACTCCAAAGGCAGCGATGCAGTAGTTCATGTTGGTAGGAGTGACAGGAAGCTCGGGTGGGAAGACGAAGAGGACGGTCGTAAGAATTGCCCAAGCAATACCAACCAAGCTGGTAATCCATCGAACAGGAGTGCTGAGCTTGAAAGGTCGATCTTCGGGAAGTCTGTTTCCGCCGCGGAGAAGGTGAATGGCAGGGGGAATTGCGTACGTGACACCTTTGATATATGTTAGTAAATACCCACGAATTCGGAGTTCGAAACAACGTACCAAGAGCAACCACCGAAGCCGCAGTAATAGCGTTGAAGGCACTGGAGCTTCCCAGAAGAATCAGACCAAAGATGATAACCCAGGCGGTAGTCCAAAGAAGAGCGTTTAGAGGCACCTCAAGAGTGGGGTGAACCTTTGCCCAGACGCTGCTGAAGGGCAAGCCACGGTCACGGCTGAAAGAATAGGTCATGCGAGCGCTGGTAGTCATGATAGCAGTGGCGGTGAAGACCATGCAGACGATAGAGAAGACGATGAGGCAGATACTTCCGGCCTTGCTGTTGGTAGCATCAAAGTACATCTGCAGAAGAGCGCCGGCTGGAGATTCGATAACGACTTGAACGTCCTTGAGAACGAACAAGAGGCAGGATAGGAAGATAAAACCAGAGAGCATGCCGATGAGAATGCACCAGATCATGATTCTAGGTCCTTCCTTGCGGGCGTTGGGGATCTCCTCGATCATATGAGCAGCAGCGTCGAATCCGGTCAGGGCAAAGGCACCCTGAAGAAGTCCCAGCATCCAAGAAAGACCATCAGGCCAGCCGACTTCGTTGATAAACTTTCCGTAGACAAAGGCACCGCTCTGGTAATCGGGAGCAGCACAAGCCAAGACGGTGATACTGATAATGATGAAGCCGGAGATACTCCATAGGAAGGCGGCCTTGTTGAAGAGAGGCAGAATTCGGGTACCGAATGCATTGATAACCAAGGCAATTAGGGTAAATGCAAGGTAAATGAGGAATTGATGCCACGACTTGGCCTCGTAGGTCGGGTGCATGAACGCGATTGAGTCCATAACGAAGGTACTGCCCAGCAGAGGAGCTGTTGCGGTCAACACCACATAACCAGCAGCGTTGATCCATCCCGTGACGTAGCTGATGCCCCTTGACCATCGTGGCCATGCGAGAAGGGCAGCCCAATGATACTGTCCACCTGCTGTTGGGTAGGCAGACAACATTTCAGCCAAAGGAGCCGCGAGACAAAGATTGCAGATACCAGCAACGATCAAACCCCAGATGACAGAGCTAGGTCCACCAGAGGGGAGTGCAAGACTGATCGAAGCCGACAGAGCCGTCCATGTGTTGAGAATAGCGAAGGCTAGACCAAGCAGGGAGATCTTTGAAAAGTTTCTTTGAAGCTCCTGCTTGTGACCAAGCTGCTCCAGAGCAGCCGAGTCGTCGATATGGACATTTCTGTCCCGCGGGGTCTGTTGGCTCTCCATGTTGGCGACTAGCGTAACGGTGAAGAATATCAAAGTGAGGTCAGCTTTTTTTTTCAGAGCATGGGGAAACAAGGTATTTAAAAAATCAAGTCAGGTGGAGGATCACTCCCTTTGTCGGATTAGACTGTAATGCTATCTAGCTCCTAGTGCTGGCGATCCAGCCATGCATATCTCTGAAGCAAGTACCGGGTGGCCTCTAGCGTGAGAAGTGAGAAGCAGACTGACGACGTAGTAATTGTGGTTGCGTAACAAGTAACAAGCGTTTCCCGCAAACCGAACCCATGTCACACACACGCCTCGGAATCAAAAGCGGCGCACTATGACGCTCCACATTCACCCCGTAACCGATTAAACAGAATGACGTTGTGGGGATTTTGCCCCGGGCCGGGGGAGGGCCTATCTGCTTTTGTTCTAGAATTGTTTTGGGTGCATGGCTACCTTGCATGTTGGGGATTGAACTGTTTAGGTATGCTTACTGCAGCTCATGCAGCGGATTCTAGCCGCGTTCTAGATATCTTGGTAGCATGCATGGTTCAGCTCGTGTCTCGTGATGATCAGGTCAGGTCAATTGATATCTCAATATTAACCGTTTCGCAGACATGTCTCCTCTTTCAGAGCCCAACATTGGACGATAGCAGTTGCTGTTCTTATCGTATCCATCTACGTCGTGATAAAGCCGTCCGAGGGTCCATTCCGCACGCGATTTATTTCGGAGCCGACGGCTGCTGGTATCATTCTACCTATCCTCCGGAATCAGCGGGCTCTAGTGTAAAACACTTTTGCTTGCAGGCAAAACTAGCTACATTTTCGCCCCTAAATTGGGTTGAAACATGACTAGCCGTAGTTGTTGTGGTCAGATTGGAATGTCTCTAGGCAGGCGTTTTCTCGACGTGGTATTCGGGTACGCGGCTACGGACCGCGATAGATTTCAGGAAATGATTTCCTTTAGATTAGAATCAGGAGACATTAAAAAATAACTCTAATCAGGTTGTATTGCGAGAGATGGCTCGAGCTGGCCTATCTACTATCTTTGCAGCCAGCTGTTAACGTCCAACCACAGTGGAGTAAACCCTGCCGAACCACGAGCTTGGCTGAGATGTCTTGAGCTGTGACTTTTCGATATTGTTCATGAATAAGTCAGATATCAATTTGCGGCTCTTTGAACTTATACTGGTCCGTGCCAGCTTCCAAAAGCCCCGCCAAATGATCCGTCTTAACCGAGTGACAGAGCATCTCCCGGTCGAACCGGCTTCTACAGCAAACTCATTCGAGAATTATCTCTCTTTATCAGTGGATTTGTTACTTAAAGGACCGGCATCGACCGGCTTTTATCGACGGGGCTCCCGTGCCATGTGGGCATATTAAAGAGGGTCTGAAGTGGCGATATGTCAGCGACAAACCAAAGTCTAAACTCTCCCCATGAGTTTGCAGTTCAATCCCCAGTTGACCCCGTACTGACACTCTGGAGAACCCAATTTCATTACGTTTAGAATCTACCAAACTGGCATATTTACCCAGCGTTCAGGGAGACTCCGCGATATGCCCCGCGACCCTGAGGGTTTTCCCCAAGCTTCTCCTTCTTGCTTGTGGATTGTGTTAAGTAACAGTAATTGCACGTTCCGCATGGTTACCTCGGAGCTTGACCGCGAGGTCGGAGGTATGCCAATTCGAGAACTTGACATGAGAGCATCGTGAGTAGTGTTGTTTTCTGTGCCGAGTCCAATATCCGGCCACAACCAAGTGGACTTTTTCCCAGCTACAACACGATTCAATTGCCCAAATATTACGCCCCGGTTGAACAGAGCCCTTTAAGTACATAGGACATGTTTTTCTTGGGGACTTCCTAGCTAGACCCTTCCAAAGTTGAGTCTCGATTGGCTTCTAAACCAACTGCAAATCAGAATCATTCAGTTGCGTTCCATCGTCGATTGGCTGAGATCAACTATCGCTCAAATCAACTCCCAAGATATTGGGGCTCTGCTATCCTCCGCTAAAACGCATCGCCAAGCGCCGCCAAGACGGGAGCTGCAAGCCATAGCCCTGCAGGGTTGTCGAGCCTCGTTGTTCTAAGAACAACGTACACATCTTCAGTAAAATAAATGAGATTGAGCGTGAACGCTCAAAGCGACAATCAATTGCAAGATATATTTCAAGATGGTATATTAATAATTACGAAAGGTGTCTAGAAACCGGATGAAGGTAGATCCCTCAATCAGGTGCTACCCTGAACTTGACTCCAGGCCATGCCGGCAATTTGTGGAAAGCCGTTTATTTGAACTTACCTACCGGGTAAATATCACTATTAAGTCAATGTACCTGAGCTACAAGCACGCTTGATCATGATTAGAAGACTACTTCGCCTTGTTTGTTGAGAATATTAAGTCTCCGGGGAGTTTTGTCAAACCGTCGTTCGTTCGGCTTTGTTCAATGGCGGCGGCGGCGTGGTGTAGCCTGGCAAAGTGACGATAACGTTGGTCAAGCAAACTAGACCTCAAACAAAGGCTGGTTCTTACGCCTCACCAAGAAATCTCAAAGATCAGTGTCTGACATCAGTCTTGTTTCTTGATCCCAGGAGATCGAGACATCAAATAATGGTCCCAGTATCTCGAGCTTGCAGCAGGATACTCGTCGTATAGACTCCATTCCGAGTCCTCCGAGCAGCAATCGCCATGAGAATTCGTTCTCACTCACACCGGTTCCGTGGTCTAGCTGGTTATGGCATCTCGTTAACACCGAGAAGGTCCCCGGTTCGAGCCCGGGCGGAATCACATTTTTGCCCGTCTGAGCATGTCCTCGATCTCACTCTTTTCTCGCTTATCCCTAGCTCGTTCGTACATAGGCGCCAACTTTACCAATACGATCATCTAATAGGTCCTGTGGTCTAGTTGGTTAGGACGTTTCCTTTACACCGTAAAGAAATCGGAAAAGATCCCCGGTTCGAGCCCGGGCGGGATCAACCTTTTTTCTTGTCGATTTGCATTCTTTTTTTGTTCTTTAATCACTCTGATCACTCAGAATATCTGGTGTTGTGTTTTGCAAGAGAGGAGATCGAGATGCGGACGGCAAGGCTAGACCTAAACGAGAGCCATAGGCGAGCTCACTGGCCCAATCTAGCTAGCGCGGCGCCACATCCGAACACCGTTTAAACTCTAACTCAACACAGCTGCAGCCCCACTATAAGACAGGTACTTGACTTTGTGTGGAAGAAGCACTGAAGATCAGGTATCTCGTGCAACTTCACACTCTGTTCTCATAACACAATTACTTTCAGAATGCATAAGACTGGAGTTTACTCATTTAAATCTGTATTCGAATCTGAGATCTTATTCTTTCATTCTTGAACTGTCACAACATTGACTATTGCCGCTTCCATCATCTAATTGCCACGGTTCATATAGTAGTTGTAGTCTGCTCCAACCATGTCGAGGATCCTCTTGGTAGCCTCATCCAGGTCCTCCTTTGGCAGTCCAAGGGCATCATTCGCCAGCCCATGCTTGGCCTCAAAGTTACCATCACCGTTGGGATAGAAAGTTCGCGCATACATAGCCAAAGCCAAGCCGCTTCGATCACCCTTCTGCAGTAAGTCCACGCCTCGTTGCCAGCGCTCACGAGTGCCCTCATACTCGATCTGCCAGTCCTTGTCCGTGGTACTGGTCACACGCTGAAGACTATCCAGCATCTGTCGCTGAGACAGAAGGAAGCTGGAGATGAAGAGAGGCTTATTTCGCCATTGTGAGATGGTGGGAGACTTGTCGTTCTCATCGTCAGGAATGACCTTGAGATTGAGCAGCGCAGCGAAAGCTCGACCACATTGATACCAAGTAGATGTGTTGATCTGGGTGTTGCCGTCGTCATACAGTGTGACCTTCTTCTGGCCATTGCTGAAGTCGAAGCCATACCACTGAGGACCCTGGGCGACAGAGAATTCGTACCAGAAAGAGCAGCACATGGCGATCCAGGAAGCCACACCGGCTTCTTCGATGGCGTTGATACCAGAAATAACACCTGCACCAGTCATGTTTTCTTCAGCGAGAGACTTGTTGGTGAAGTCTGAGCCCCAGCAGTTAGGCATAATCCAAGGTACGCCTGCTGTGGCGGCGGCTTTGATGATCTTCTCCTGAGTGCCAGCAGGCGCCATTACAGAAAGGGAAATGGCGAGGAACTGTTGTCCTCTGAGGGCCTTGACAAGAGATTTCTCGTCATCGTAATCGACGACTACAGCATTGGCACCCTCGGGAACCTTGCTAGTGCTGCCAGGGCGAGTGATGGCGGTGACGGTATGCTTGCCGCCTTCGATGAGTGACTTGGCCAAATATTTTCCAACGCTTCCACCGACCTGTATAGTGTTAGTGACCAGTTGTTATGAAGGGAAAATAGAAAACTTACACCGATGATCGCTACTCGCTCGATCTTGTTGACGAAGCCCTGGGGCTGATCCTTTGCGTACTGTTGAGACATTGTGTTGATGTGGATGTTTTGCTCTTTGCTTGGGATAGAGATGATGAGAAGTGTGGTAGTATTCGTGGTGAATATCTTAGAGTTCTTTGGTGAGTAGTAGATGAGTGTGATGATGATGATAATGAAATTGCTCAACTACATGATATGAAGGAACTTTTATACCTGAACTCTTGCTCTTTCATTCCAGTACAGCTCTTAAAGTATCTCGGACATTTCATTAACCCCTTGGAAATCTCCATAATGTCAAGCTGTCAATGATGTTATTCCGGAGTTTGTAGGATCGTGGCCGGGATAAAGATTACCTCTTTCAGTAAGTGGGTCTCCGTCCATGATTGGATGTGGCGTCCAATCCTCCACATGTCGGTCCCACGGCCCAATCACAGCTCGTCAAATACGAGAATGAGTTAACAGAAAGGGACCAACCAGCCTCAAATGTAAAACCGAGTTGATTGTAAATCCGTTAACTACAGGGGAAAAAGCGAGAACGATCCTGATATCTCCACTATCTCGTCTTTCGGACTTCTCTTTAGACCGATTTTGAATGATGATTCATAATATCGTACTGCCGACAAAGACCGACCGACATAGGTATGCATCGACGGCATCGAAACTGCCGACGCCGCCGGTTTACGTGGAATGTGTAGTGTAGCATGAAAAATACACATCACTGATACAATTTATCTATTCTGAGTGTGCTGGTTCTCTAGAACAGTGCCGTTACTGTTCTTCGTATTTGATCTCTATATGCTAGCACAGGTTAGAAACGCAACTCACTTAGCCGGGGTATTTAAAATGTTATGCAGATATGACAGACAAGAGGATTAGTTTTGAAATAAATAGTTTAAAAGATATCAAAATCGAAATTGATAGTTTATATGTACTTCTGGATTACAATTACACAAAAGGACTTGCGTCTTCTCATGAGCAGGCTTATTGTTCTGCTTTCGTGGCCCTGATTTTATTTCATTTATTTTTCAATCTCCCTACTAACGCTTTTCTTCTTCTTCTTTCCTGCACCTTCGCGTTACGTGTGTTATTTCTATGTGACTTTCTCAGAAATCTTCGGCCATAAGCGATACCCAGGCATATTCCAGACATCCACTACTGCCATGGATCTAAGAACGTAGACCCAACACTTCTGACCTTATCGTTGCACAAATCTCCATAAACTCCTCATCACTCAACTTTCCGGTATTGGTGTATTTGAGTCTCAGAACACTTTCAATCATACGGCGTAGTCCCTCTTGCCCGCCATGAGGCGTGATCTCCCACTTTTCCCCGTTTCGTACATTATAGAGTGTAATGCGCGGCAGCTTCAACAAGTAGGCATACGCGCATGCCTGTATAGCATGCTGGTATGAAAGTTGTGAGATAAATTTGATTTCCCAGAGAGATTCAATGCTTCCGGTGTTGCTGCTCTCGAAACCAGATGAAGCCGCCACAATGTCAGCTCGACCTAGGAGTCGGCATTTCTGATCATCAATACTGAACTCCTCCTCAGCTTCAACTTCGAACCTGAGATTTCCGGAAAGCTCGCTCAGCTCCTTGCGTAGTCGGCTCCGGGCCAAAGCAAGGTCGTCAGTGTCTATCCAATCGAAGGCATGGTTTTCCATCTGGATGCTACGCGGGAGCCAACCCGAGAAGTCTGCCTCATATTCACAGGCTTTTCGACATAGCCAAGAAACACCCTCCCGTGAGCAGACTGGAGGTATTTCATCAGTGCTGATTTGGCGCAGACCAAGCGTGTCCAGAGTTCCAGAAATCTCATACTCGAAGCAATGTGCTCATCCTTTGGCAAAGGCGAGAGCTTCTGAATACATAAGTGGCTATCAACAATAGTGTTGATATCTTCATCCTTTATGTGCCGAGCTATGTCTCGAACCGCGATCGAGCGCGGCAGAGTAAGACCATGTTCCAAAGGTCGGCCTGGAGCATCAGGCGGCTTAATTACGTCCCGATTCTTAGTGATATCGATGACCTCGGCTGTACTGTACAAAGCTTTGACCGATGCAAAAGGCATTAGTTTCTCCTCTTCGTAGTGGACCAAGACAAGCTGTTCCACAGCACGTGTCAGAGCCACAAAAACCTCGTTAGGGCATCTATCATCGGGGAGACTGCGGCCAAAATACTTGAAGAATGAGTGGTTAAGATCGAAGAGAAAAACCAAATCACGCTCGCTGCCTTTGAACTGGTGAATAGTGGAAACACACATCTTGCCTTTGATTACCCTGTCATTCAGAGGAACCTCGTCTTCGATTGGCACATCAATAGGCACTCTATACTTCTTCTTCAGGATGTTAACTACAGTCTGTAAAGGCGAACCTTTACGCGCATGCACAGTAGGTGCTATAACTGCGGTATTCTTAGCTCCAAGGCGCTTGATCAGGACCGACATCTGCTTGGCCAACGCATCGCTATCCCAGCGGCCGCATCTTATGACAATGGAATTGGGGCCAGGTTTGGAACTAGTGATATATGATTCGCCACCGAGAAAAGTTTTATTGACGAACTGAACTGATTGGGTCGACATCCGAAAGCTCTGGTTTAACTGACACCTGACAAAGGGATATGGGTTGACAGGACCTAACAACTCAGGAGCCAAGGGAATGTAGCGGTCGTCGGCACCACGGAATCCGTAGATAGATTGTCGCTCATCACCTAGGACGACGAGACGAGCAGATTGACCGCCCGCCTTCTGGTCATTGGCGAGGATGAAGCAGTTGGTCAGCCAGAAGAGTAGTTCGGTACAATCTTGAAATTCGTCCAATACAATGATGTCGAAGGGCGCCTGATTCCACTGAGGGAGCTCGCCTCGATCAAGGACTTTCTTTCTTTGCGCCGCCAGAACAGCGTCGTCACGGACAATAGTATCGAAAAGTTTGCCAGCTATGGCATGGAAAGTGAATACTTCGCAGTTAGAGTAGATGCGAAGCCGTCGATGAGTCTCCGTCTGAAGCCTTTTTGAGTAGGTGAACACAACTACTCGCTTGTCTGGGTAGGCGGCTACGATAGCTTCAGCCGTAGCCGTTTTGCCTGAGCCTGGACGAGCCGACACAACAACATTCCTCGTGTTGCACTTTTCTGCTATTTCTTGCTGCTCTTTGGATGGGGTAAATGGATGTTTCTTCTTGCGACGCTTGAGCAAGTTCTGCGTGTTTGTAAAGAAGCGAAAGGAGCCACCGAGGTAAGGGACCTGGAATCAGTGTCTTATCAGCCATATGGATCTTTCATATCATCTTGTATTCGCAGACGTCTTGCGTCACTTACCGAGGACTTCATCGTGTATGGGACTGGCCATCCGCGGGCGACTGAGCGCCATCTCAGGAATGACTGGCCAAGCATCTTGACTCCAACCAGTAAACCCAGTGAGAGAACGCTAATTAGTTATGGAAGCAGCGGTTCGGTAAGCGTAGCTGTCTTATATAAGTTTACAAACTCGCGAAAACAAATATCGTTTTAAAACATCGAGGCTTGCTGAGGCGATTCCGCGCCAACTCA